GCGCGGCAGCGGTAGCGGCAGCGGCAGCGCCGCCATGGACATCTCTGATGTGAATTAGTCATTATTCTAGAATAATAAAGATATAGCTCGAACTGATATCATTCGTTTTTCGATTTTCAACAGAATATTTAGTTCGTTACAGGAGGCATCACAAAGACATGATTCTGACTATGGACTTTGTTTTTCTCACATTTCGAGATAATTAAAACACAAATAACATGAGAAGGTAGACGTAAATGTTATGAACAAATCACTTTATTTGTAATAGAAGTTTTATAGTTATATATCATATTATACGACTACCAATGATCATTAAATCTTATTGTAGGAATCATTGAATTTTATTGCAATTTTGTACTTCTATTTTTTATTTAAATGAAAGAGTATTTCATTTTTGATGGTGAAATTGTTTTAGTGAGTGTTATTGAATTACAAGAAAATAAGAATAGTGATTTATCATTTTTACATACATTTAGATTATTACGTGTACTAGAACCTGTAAGATTTATGGCAACGTTAAGACAACAATTAGTAAGAAAAATATTTTGAAATTTATTTTTCATATAATCTAGGTGTGGATGAGGATATAGATACTGTATTTACCAAGCACCCACATCCTCGAGATGGTTTTCTTAGTTGTTCAACATTTGAAAAATCTCCCGTATATATTTCATGAATCGTTCAATTCCTTTGAATCACTTAGCTAAAGTATAATTAATTTAAGTATGAAGTGCATCGTAGAAAAACCATATAGATTTCGAGATCATAAAAAGAAGAAGAAATCTTCTTATTTAGTTTAACTATTATGTTAATAATCTACAAGAACAATGTAGTTTATTACTTAAATGACGACTAATAATGCAGCCTGTAGAATTAATTATATTATATAATTATGCAGATATTTAAAAAACAACCTTTAAATTGCATATTATTTTTAACTTCTAATTCTAATTAAATTATTGTTTAATACGAAATATTCATCTTATATAGAAATGTTATCTATATGAAATAGTTTGAAAAGTATTAACTATGAAGTCATGATTAGATTTTGTAGATTATCAATAATGAGAAGCCATTTCGTCATATTCACTTTTTTATGGGTGTAATTTAGTTGTCTTTCAAGAAAAAATATAGATCTGATTGTATATGTACAAATGGAATAAGATAAATTTTATATTGTACTGTCATCATTTCTTATCATAGATATAGATTATCTTAAAAGAATATAAAGTACAAATGACTTTGACCACTTTTGATTCTATTGCGAGAAACAAAAGATAAAGTTTATTAATTAGGATAAATATATTAGTAATTACTTTTGAATTCCATTGTTTATGTTAAATCAAATAAAAGTTGAAATAATGTATTGAATGAGTTTATATTGATCATATAGGTCATAAAAGAAAATAGTTAACTCAATAAACTCTACTAATTGTATAAACTTTTTCAGAATCTGAATAATTATTGAAAATACAATTCAGTTAGTTAATTCAATACTCTCTCTCTTGGTTGCGATCCAAACAACAAAGTTTAGTATTTTCAATTAATTTCCATCATTCTAGACCAAGATTAATCTTATCTTGATTTTGATTAGTTCTTCACGATGTATATCGATCTCGATATTACTCTTATTTACTAGTATCACTATACTAATCGAACGTATCTCTAGTTGATATAGTATAAACATTATTACTCTTATTTTTTTTGTCTATCCCTTCAGTCTTTTTTATTGCATTTGCTTTTCAAAATAAAATATTGCAAACATATCCATATATATATATATCGCAGTTTTCTTAGTTTTTTCTTCATCATACGAGCCCTCTCGTTCAACACTATTACAAGTCATTTCCATATAAGTTATTCTTCTTCTTTTATTGCAAGGAAGACTCTCATAAACGATTAGAAATATAAATATGTCTGAGAAGTTCATTTATACACATACGTATATATGTGTATTACCTTATCAATCGATTGTATCCAATATATTTTCATTATTTACAGAGTTGTGTTCTGTACGCGCGCGCGAGTCGCTACAATCTAGTATTAATTCAAAAATAATTGTGAATAAAATGTTCTTTTATTTATTTATCAACTATTCTTTATGATTTCTTTTTTACAAATTCAATACTGTTTTTCACAATTTTTATATGAGGATGAGTTGGAGGTAATGCACGTTGGAATATGTCCAGAGCACGGCCATAATATGACAATGCTTTCGAGTACTCGCCTATCTTTTCATACACAGTACCGATGTTGTTATATGAAGTAGCCAATGAAGGATGATTTGAAGGAAGAGGTTTTTGTTGAATTTCCAGTGCTTTTTCGTATAATGAAAGTGCTTTCGAGTGCTCTCCCATGTTGTTATGCACACCACCGATGTTGTTATATGAAGCAGCCAATGAAGGATGATTTGAAAGAAGAGTTTTTTGTTGAATTTCCAGTGCTTGTTCGTGAGATGAAAGTGCTTTCGAGTACTCCCCCATGTTGTTACACACACCACCGATGTTGCTGTATGAAGTAGCCAATAAAGGATGATCTGAAGGAAGAGTTTTTTGATCGATTTCAAGTGCTTTTTCGTAATATGAAAGTGCTTTCGAGTACTCTCCCATCTCGCCACACACACTACCGATGTTGTTGTATGAATTAGCTAATGAAGGATGATTTGAAGGAAGACTTTTTTGTTTAATCTCGAGTGCTTTTTCATAATATGAAAGTGCTTTCGAGTACTCTCCCATGTTGTGATACACCAAACCGATGTTGTTGTATGTAGTAGCAAAAGAAGGATGATTTGAGGGGAGAGTTTTTTGATAGATTTCGAGTGCTTTTTCGTAAAACGAAAGTGCTTTTGAGTACTCTCTCATGTTGTGATACACCAAACCGATGTTGTTGTATGACTGCGCGAAATCAAGATGCTTTGATGGAAGAGTCTTTTTTCGAATTTCAAGTGCTTGTTCGTGAGATGAAAGTGCTTTCGAGTAATCTCCCATGTTGTCATACACCGAACCGATGTTATTGTATGAAGTAGCCAAATGAGAATGATTTAAAGGAACAGTTTTTTGTTCAATTTCGAGTCCTTGTTCGTGATACCAAATAGCCTTTTCGTAATCACCCTGAGCATCTTTGACAGATCCCAATTGATTATAATAATGCTGCTTTTCACCCTCATCAGATGTCTGTTCGAGTAATACGTTATAAAGTTCTTCAGCTTTATTAAATTGACCAATTGTAAGCAATAATTTACCCAATCTCTGACATCCAGTACCATCAGCTTCTTCTCGTATCCGATCAGTAAGTACTCGTAGTTGTTGATCATCATCCGACGTTAATCGAAGTTCAACTTCATAAAGTTCTTTGTTGCTGTCCAGCTGTTTAATTGCACCCACTCGGAAGACGGTATGCATGGAGAAGAGAATTTCTTCTTCTTCGTTATAGTAACTCGTATGCTTGATGGAGGCAAATGGCACTGATTTAACACGAGGATCAATTAACATCTTGAAAAGAATACCTATCATGTCTACATTGTCTGACGCGCTGTGTGCAAATACCAGGGAGATGTTTTGTTCCGTACTAGTGGATAAAAAGTTATTGAAAGACATTAAACCACCTTTTGTTTTTTTCAGTTTTTCGAAACTTGCTTTGGATAGACCTTGTCCCCGGTAAACTATGAATGATTTATCGTTATAACTATGAACCTGTTGTTGGTGTAGTTGTTGAATTTGTTGGTGAAGATCATGTATGAAAAAGCCCATGTTAATAATGGTATCACCTTCCATCGAGCGTAGAGCATAATTCAGCATAGAATAGATAAATGAGGGAGATGTATACCACCAAATAGCTGCTTGAGTATGGTATTCGTTTTCAAATTGATCAATAATCGTTGGCGACCCGGAATCGTTCTGTCGACAGTAAGTAATAAATTCTTTGATAGCCTGTTTATTATGTTCCATATCAAGAAGAATTTCCTTGAATACCTGAGTATACATAAATGTTGGTTCCAACTGATTTAAATTATCGGTTGAAATCATTTCATCTACCGTGATAAAGCTCATAGCAATCGAATCTTGATTGTATTTCTTAATACCCAGTTGTAATACTTTGCGTAAGTCATCGATGTTAGTATGAACACCCTTGATTTTTGACCATTTTGTTGTCCATTCTTCATGTTGGGGTTTAATATTACTGAAGATATAAACACTATGCAATTGAGGAATATCATTAATCAAGGGCATTATTTGTTGAACCTTAGCACTCTCGACAACCAGAAAAGACTTGATGTTTTCTTCAGCATCTGTAAGAAAATCGACACATTCGTCTCGCTGCTTAAAGACCTTGGTATTATCAGTATTGGTTTTTAATTGTGTCAATATACTTTGATATTCTTGATTTGCTTCACCTGTACACTCATCCAAACAGAGAAGTGAATAATTTCGAACCATCCGGTGTCTTTGTTGAATAGCATCCAATGGTGATATAGTCGTGTTTAATGATAAAGAAGATTTTGAATTGGATTCCGATCCACTCATTAGGTCCTTTTTATAATTTGATGTTGAATCTAAGCTTAACAATAGTTGTTGTTTTTAGTAAATCGTAAAAAGACTCACCACCCCTATTTGTAATAGCAATGGCGTATTTTTCCAATCTTTTTTAGCTTGTTTCAACTAGTTACTTTTTAAAATACTGTTGTGAAGAGCAAGAAATAGATAAGTACAAATAAATTTCTTAACAACGTTTACAATAGAACGAAATGATTTCGTTTTATAGTTATTCTCTCCAACTTTTTTAATCTTATCTATGCAATTACTTCAGTAGTTGAATATACCACCAATACTTTATCATTGAAATGAATAGAAACAGAAACATGATTCCTTCATTGAATGTTACTTTTCTTTCTCATACATCGTTTTATTGTTAAATGGCAGCAGAGAATTTGTTAAAACAACAGGGTATAGTCATATGTCAGAAAGAAGCGAGTGTGTGTATGTATAAATAAATAAATTTGAAAAGAAAAGTAAAGCTACATATTTTTCTTTATTTCTCACTATTCTCTCATTCAGTAGATGAGTCTTGAGGGTGTGGGTATGAGTGTGGTTGATGAAAACTCCGATCCAGATCCAGACCCACACCCTTAATAAGTAGAAACATATTTCATATCTTTACGGTAATGAAAATATGACACCATCAGCCCTAGATACATGTTAGATCACATGATGTGTATTAAGCTTCGACGATTAAAATAAACGAATGAATAAGGAGATAGATCACTTTATGTA